AAATCAAAACCGATCCATCACGCCCAACACACCACACAATCACCATCATCCCATCACACAAAAATCACACTTATTCATCACACATTAAATCTATACTAACGTCTAGCGAGGGGTAAGAGAAATTGCTTGTAATTTGTTGAACAATTAACTCTGTTTTTGTTTCGGTTGCGTATGCGCGCGCCTGTGACAAGAACAGAGATCTAAGTGCGAGATCTCGAAGGGCAGTTGCTAAGACCCCGCTTTCTTTGCTCTCCTTCCCGGCAGCATGATGACCAAGTACCCCACATCCCGGAAGCGATTCGGCCGGCAGTTCAAGCAGCGCTACTTCCGCCTCACCACCCACAAGCTGAGCTACGCCAAGTCGAAGGGCAAACAACCCATCTGTGATATACCGCTCCAGGAGATCGCCAGCGTGGAGCAGCTGAAGGACAAGAGCTTCAAGATGCAGAACTGCTTTAAGGTGAGTGTCTCGATGTGCTTTGATTTGAATTGGGGGCTGGGATTTGCATGCGGTGCTTTGCTTGTTGCAACAAATAATGCACACGAGCAGTGTACCGGAAACGCGCGATCCACAACACATCTATAAATAGGCAGCCCAAGCCCACACACCTCCGGGCAGTGATGTTGGTTTAGCTGGTTTTACAGCCAAATTGGTCGATTGTATACGTTGAAGGTGATATATTAGGCTCCATTTTGTTAAAAGCTTTTAAACAGGAATGATCCTCCAAAAAAAGTTTATTTTTTGTATATTACAAAGTTCAATTGCAAATATTTTGTACAACCCGAAAAAAGATGAAAATTAATGGAAGTGTCACTCAGCTCAATCTCAAAACCCTAAAAACCATTTCCTATTTAAAGAATAAAAAAAAAAGTAAAACCTCTATTGCAGCTTCTCACTTCCTTCTGACTTTTGGTCCATCTTTAGTTAGCTTCTGAAAAACTGCCATCACTGCCTCCGGCCAACTCATGGTTCAGACATGTGGCTGTGTGGGCGTATGGCAGTGGCTGCTAATCGATGGCACATCCATCCATCGGTGGCAGCAGCAGGCCCATCCTCTGTGATAGTGAAAACTGAACCTCAGTTTGCCCGAGAAACTTTCACTAATCACTCACAGAGTTTTGTGTGGCAAATGACAAGTTGCGGCAATTAAAAATAATTAGCATTATTATGCAGATGAACCGCCGGAGCAACGCTTTGCGTACGCTATTGTTATTGCCATTCGAGGTAGTAAGACAAAAAGGGAAATTTCAAAACCTAGAAATATCTGCAGCCGACGCAGAAGAGAATCGTCATCGTGGGTGCGATTTCTTGGCGTAACGCTTTTTATCTCAGCCAAGATGTGGGAATTGTCTCAGCCAGCGATTTCACTTGGGTGCGATTGTTTTGCAATTGCGCCGCGCACAGAATTTATGTTAATTGCACAAAGATGAGACTAAGATTTACTTTCGCCTCTTCTCCCACAGATTGTGCACAACGATCGTTCGCTGATTGTGCAGACAACGAACTGCGTGGAGGAGCGCGAGTGGTTTGACCTGCTGCACAAGATATGTTTGATGAACTCCAACCGGATGCGGTACTTCCATCCCTCGGCCTTTGTCAGTGGATTCTACAGCTGTTGCGGCCGCTCGGATGAGAACTCGCCGGGCTGTAAGAATTACTCGGACAAGGATATGGACTACTGCCAGATGGATTTGGTGACTGCCCTGGATCCACCGCTTGACCTGCAGCGCATCCACACGCTGATCATGTCTAACATGAGTGTGCTGGAGTCGCTGCTGGATCCGCTCACCTACCACCAGCATTTGCCGCAGACGCAGCACCAGCAGCACAACCCTCTGGTACCACTCGCCACTGATCTGCAGAAGCATTCACCGCAGGCCTTTGCGGAGTTCAAGCGAACGATTGATAAGCTGAAGGAGAAGGCATACGCAATCGATCGGGATCATCGAGACTACAAGCAGGGCATTACGCGGCAACTCAAGTATGGCAGCAGACAGGCTCCGATTGGCGATGACAACTATTGGCACATGATGCGAGCCGCCGGCCAGTTAAATCAGCAGCATCACCAACAGCAGCAGCACCAACAGCAGCAACAACAACTGCAGCAACAGCAAATGCAGCAGTTCCAGCCACAACCAGTGCTGCCGCAAATGCAGAATGTTCGAGCGTATCCCTATCAGGCAGCTACGAGCAACATGAACGCATACTATCTGCATAACCTGCAGCATCAGCAGCAGAGATTGCAGTTCCAGCAGCAGCAGCAGCAACATAATCAGCCGATGCAGCAGCAACAGTTGCAGTTTCAGCCGCTGCGCAGCCATCAACTGCAGCGTCACAATAATAACTTGAACAACAATATCTGCGGCAATGCCTCGTCCTCCAGTCCGTCGTCAACGACCTCCAGTGTGGTGGCTGCACCACCGAGCACCACCTCATCATCGCAGCCGGCGCCGCCGATTTATTAGCGTTCAAGGCTGTGCGTATTCGCCTTGCCGCGGGCCATCATAACGACCAGGTGAAGGAATACGCATCATCGTGAAAGCTTGGCTACCGAGGAGAAGCACCCAACCAGGAGATGCTGCTGTACAAACAGTTTTATGTGCTTATATCTAGGCTCTTTTTTTTTGTATAATTTTTACGAGTTAAACGTTGTAAAGGTCTAGACTAAGTTTTTTAATTAACATTTTTTATACACCAGATTTTTACGGTACCGCCTACACCAACAACTACAAGATAAAAACAAACAAGAAAGCGAAATCTAAATATTTATAGGCCTATTTATTTTTTGTATGTGCTAACATTATTTATACACGCAAACAAAACACCCAATATGAAAGGAGCATTTCTACTTTTCTGAGCGCAAAGAGGGCAGAGAACCACTTAAAACTGATAACTTTATAAGCCTAAACTACTGAAAACTCCAAAATTGCTAAGATTTTTTAAAGCCTAGCCTAAGTTCAGTACCAGCGTAATGATGAGTAGCGAAATGAAACGTTGTAAATAGCAAATACACGCGTATATATCTCCCTATATGTACATGTGTAATATTAACTACATTATACCAGTTATTTTAGGCGTAGCAAAAATTTCTAAAACCTAACTAAACTAGGCGTGTTGCTTAGAGGCGACACAAACAAAAAGCAAATAATTCTAACAAAATGTGAACGCTATATACAACAAACAAACAAAAACTGCGAAAAGCTAAAAAAAAAACATACATCTACATGTATATTTACTTTATATAACTGTCATACAGCTAATGTTAAACACACGATACGTACGATCGGCAAATTGTAGAATACAAACAAAAAGCATTGTTAAGAACAAATTTTCTTCCATTTTGCATATACACACACATACATACATACATTAAACACACGCACACCTATATTTATTAAATGCATTTAATTTCATGTTAATCTTATAAGAAAAACAAGTAAATTGTTAACGCAAACACGATTTGTTTAGCTTCGACTTACTTCCACCGATTTGTTTCCAAAGCTCTTCCAATATTAATTACACGTCTAGAACTTATGTTAAATAATCTTATTTTGCCATATTTAGTTCATTGTTCATCCATTTGAAAAGCATTGAAAAGTGTCTTCCTCCACCGCGTTTATTCATATTGCCTTTTGTTTATGCATTCCAATTATTTGTGCATTTCTTAATTCTAATATCTGCACGATGTACATAGAGATACGAAATGGAGAAGGACGACGAGATGTTGCTATGAATTTAATTTGTTTGCAGTTACCGACATTATTCATTTACAATTTCAGTTGCATTTTAAGAGCATAATTTAAGTTTATTTTTACGATGCCTAGCTTTTAAGATGTTGGTACAAAGAATCGAAAATATACACTTTTCTAGCGAAAATAAAGCGTATCGCAAATGGATGTTTTAATTTTGTTTTCTTTTGAGTTCCCTTTTTGGTTTTTGCTATCGTTATTTATCCTTATCTTATCCTCTCCCATTAAAGTACCTCATTCTCGTGCTTTAGAAATATCTGGCATACTGTTGTGATATCTTACGATATGGTAATTTAATTAGTCGTGTGTGTTAGTTGATTGATGCATATTTACGATACATTTATAGTGCGTTAAAGCTGTTGAGTATTTTTATTCGTATTGTGACAATTAACCGAGAAGCAATTTTTCCAAAACAAGTGAATCGACGAGTTATATGATTTTCAAAAAATGTTTTTAAAATTTTTCACAAATCCCAAGGATGCGAAATTTGAGTCCCGAGTTGGTTTCAAATGGAATAGAAAAAATAAATGGATCCCATATTTTTTGTAAAAATGAAAAACTTTTGAAATCACTTTTATGTATAAATAAATACCTAAATAGTTGGATATTTTAAATTGTGTTTTATATGGGTCTGTAAAAGATGTAAGAAAAGTTTGAGCCAAGGATCAGAATTTAGCTCATAAAATTGGCCGCAAACCAAATATTATTTTTCGCTTAAACTTTAAAATTTTTAACTGAAAAACTATTTCACACATTGGCTATAACAATTTCAGGGATCTTTTTGAAATGAGGTGGGGAGACAATAAACTGAAGGCAATACAAAGATGTTATAGCTTAATTATTATTATTTTTACTTCAAATGAGTATTTCATCTTGTTTTAGAACTTTTGTTTGAATAAACTTTTGTTTAAGGATAATGACTAAAAATTCGGTTGTTAACGTTTATTTAAAAATAATAAATAGTCGCCTATTTCGACCCTGGTTTCTATTTAATTTGTATGGTCTTACTAAAACGTGGTTAGCGGAGACACAAACCTTAATCGAAATCTCCACGTCGGTGGAGAGACATCATTGTTTTGGCAGATACAATCGATGCCTTATCCAGGCTTAAAAGTGTTATAAAAACATTAGCAAATGAGAAAACTGAAGTGAAAATTTCATTTCTCATTAGAGATTGAAAAATATCGATTGTGGCCGGCCAAACATCGAAATATCCGATAGTTTGGAAACATCGATGACATCGGCGTTAGCATCGATATCTCCACCTCTATTCGCCATTGCTAGACAACTTTTTTTCAAGCAAAAAAAGGTCGGTTGTGAAAATCGTGAAAATTAGAGAAGAATCGTGAAATTTCAACTGAAAAATAGAACCAAAAGTTAAGGACACCATTACCAGTTATTGAAGAGCAAGAGGGAAAAGGTAAGTGGCGTAAATGTGGATGCGAATAAACTGCGAAAACGCTCGGCCGGCAGAATATCGATTTTCTCGCAGCGAGCGACGCCACCGGCGGCAGAGAGATTGTAATCCGTTGAAAAGGGGGGTGCTGCGCTGGACGGCCTGCGCTTTCGCACACATGCACATATAATATGTAGAGACATGCTTATGCGGATCGAATTAGAAGTAACCTTTTTCTTGTGGCATTTTGCACTATCTTACAAACAGAGAAATAGATCACAAGATGCGTGGACGCGGCGGATTCATTCCACGTGGTGGTGGTACCACTCGCGGCGGCTACTATAATAATCGCAATTCGAGCAACTATGTTAATACCCGCACCCAGGGCAACTACCGTCCTAATAATGGGCGATACGAGAATAACTACCACAACAACAATAATCGCTACAACAACAACAACAGCGGAGGTGGGGGCAATAGCCACTATGACAATCGGAGTCGGGACAAGTTCACCCACCACAATTCCAGCAGTACCAACCGCTACGATTCCAGCTCCTCGGGCCACAAGCGCAGCTATGTAAGTTGTGACACTATATAACACTAGAAAATATTTTTTCATTTCACTCAATTACTACAAGATATTATCAAAAAAAGAACACTACAGATTATTTTCCAATTCTGTTTGTATACGAGATAAGAATATTTGAATACGCTCTTAGAACATCATGGACAAGACGTCAAGTACAGCCTATTGTCTTTTTCATTTTCTGCATTTAGCATTTCTTAATACATTCTTATTGAGTCCCAATATTTATAGTAATCAAGCAATTCGATTTCATATATTTTCTTATCTATCTATTTATCTAATCTTTAGGCTTGAGTAAACAACCATTAAATACAATTATTTAAAAAACTACTTATGCTGTCCCAATTCTTTTTAAAATTACAAATTAGTTAATTTTCTGAAATCGGATTAAAAATAAAATATATTCAATAGAATTATGTATGCAGTTGTCAAGCAACGAAAGAATATAAAACGAATACAATGAAATATATTTCAATTTGAGTTAACCTTAAGAACCTTCAATCTATAAACAGTTTGGTTTTTACTTATAACCAGCACACTTGTTTTCGTGGAAAATAAACATATAATTATAGTATTCAAAAAATACAGCTGAGGTAAAAATAAGATTTCCCAATTCACAACTAAATACACAGCATGGTAATCTTATTAATTTGAGTACTGCACAAATACACAAGTCAATATTTAAAAAAAGAATAATACAAAAAATATATCACTAAAAATTAATAGTCTTAATGAATTTGAATCAGGTCCCTATTATTTTGATCGTAACTGTAAGACTAACAAATTACCTCCTTATAATCTGTCACGCTCCATACAAATAATGAGTAATAATAGTGTCACTCCTGCACTTAATTATAGTAAGAGGTCTGTCGGTCTTGTAGCAAATGAGTGATTTGTTAGCCAAATCCATCTATATGTATATTCATAATGCTATCTATTTTTATCTGATGTGTGTCTAGGACTCTTCTCGCGATCGGAACGATGACCGCAAACGCCCGCGTACAGACGTAAGTTATACTTTGCCCTATTTCCGAAGCTAAAAGCACGCTATTCCAGAGGTCTATTAATTAATTATCCATTAAGCCAAACGCCTTGTACTTTGTAATGTTAATGACTTTCCAAATATTTATAGCACTGTTTGTGAAGCTTAAACGCGGGACTGAGTTGAGTTGCCTATCGAGCGTTAAAGCATAGCATGTCCCAAAAGTGCAAACAGCGCGCGGACTCAAAGTTGCCAGACAAGCACTTTGGAGCACCGTCTGACCATAAATATATATATATAAATCTGTGTATTGTCCATAGCATCGGCATCGGCACGGCAACATATAGATAATTTTTGCCAGCGACCGATCGATCGATCTGATCCGATCCAAGCCGACCCGAACTGATCCACATATGAGAAAGCAAAAACTTCTGTAGAGAACTGTTGAAGCGATCAAAACGATTTTGATCTGTAATCTCTTGTCTTGTATGCCTTGTACCGTACCATCAGCTGTCAAATTTTTCCCCATACCGAAAGTCGAATGTCGGTTATCAATCCGAGCAGAGAAAATAGAAATCAATCAGTGTGTACATCCGCATATGCATTATATCGATCCAAATCTAAGTAGCTAAGCTATAAGCATATAAGGTTTCTCCATCATGCTACCACACACAAAACACGCTGCAGGAAATAAAAATAACAGCATATTGCGATATATAACCCACAACCAAATCCGATCAGATCAGAACCAGAATCAGAAAATCAATATCAGTTTGTAGCTATATAGCAATTCTTTTCATTCAACAAGTCTATATGTTTTATATAAATATAAATCTACCACCTATATTTGATATTTGATACAAAAATCAAAACCAATCAACCAAAACAAAGCTCCTACACACCTTCCTACTCATCAATCGTCATAGGATTACCGTCGCACGTCCTCGTCGAACGATCGCAGCGATCGACCCTCGTCCTCGTCGCAGAACGTTGGCTCCTCATCCTCGAACTATCATCAGCGGAGCAGCACCGGCGGTGGCAATAACGGTGGCGGCGGGAGCTCGAGCTCCTACCGCCCGCGGGATGATTCCGCCAGCGGCAGCCGGCACCAGCGGGACGGATCGATGGGTCCCCCAAGCGGATGATGCGCAGCGTGGCCGGCACCAGCTATATATCCCGACCCCGCGGCACAATGTCGATGCGGGGCGGCATGATGCGCACTGGGATGCGGGTGGGAGCCATGCGCGTTGTGCGCACCCGCGTCAACGAGTCGAATGATCTGCGCACCATGCGCCGCCAGCTGCTCTATGCTCAGCAGAAAGACCGGGCTCGCCTGCTCAAGATTCAGCAGTTGAAAAGGTAAATAGACCAATCAAAACAAAAAATATACAAAAAACCCAAACGAAAAATAAAAGTTACGCCATTGTGTACCAATTGAAGATGCAGAGAACTATGAAAGCAATCTGTGAGATTGATATGCAATATGTGAACAGTGAGATTCAGTAAGGAATCTGGATGCGAGATGGAGGGGGAGAGCACTCGGTGCCAGATCAACTGAGCGGCCTCCAGAAAGACTCCATTCTCCATCGCTGCGGATATAATCCGTGTGTATATTGTTGCGTAACTAAGTAGAACGAATTGAAATGTACCGAAAAAACACCCGACACTATATGACAAGAACGTAATTTGTTAGTTTACCACCCAGCTTCTTATGTACTAAAAAAAAACACAAAAATTTGAACTTGCCTCCCAACAAAAAAAAAACATCCTGCCACCCTCACATGACTTCACATTCGAATTCATTCCACCCAAATGTAGCTCGTTGCGACGACAACGCCAGGGCGGGAATAGCAGCGACGACTCCAGCGGCAATGAGGACAAGGACGGCGATGATGCTGAGAAAAGCAAGAAGAAGAAAGGCAAGGACAAGGACGCTGATGGAGGCGATGACACTGACGAAGACGACGACGATGTTGAGGACGATGATGAGAAGGACGAAAAGAGCAAGAAGTCGTCGCCCGGTAAAAAGCGAAGCAGCAAGTCGGCCAACGAGGATAAGAGCGACGGCGAAGGCAACGAAGATGACGACGATGAGCACGGTGAAGGCGATGACGATGAGGATAAGGATCTGAATGAGTCCGATCCCAAGAGCGGCAAGGCCGACGACGCCTCCGATGACGAGGATGTCAAGGTAAAGGCCGATGGTGAGGCCGGCGAAGGCGATAAGGGTGACGAGAAGGCTAAGTCGTCGGCCGACAAGTCAGGTAAGAAGAAGGACAAGGACGATGCGAAGGACTCCAAGTCGAAGAAGTCGTCGTCCGTCAAGAAGGAGCGCTCGTCGCGCAAGGACAAGGATGATTCCGATGATGATCGCAGCAAGGAGCGCCGCAGCTCCCGTCATCGTGATGAAGACCACAACAACCGCAAGCGCAGCTTCATTAAGCTCATTTGCGTCCATTGCCGCATCAAGTGTGTAACCTTTAAGGTGAGTTTGGCATCGGGAATCTTGTCTTACTCTAGTCTCTATTAACAATTCATTTGTGACCTGCAGGAATACAACTACCATCTGAACTCACGCTCCCACAAGAACTCTATGCGCCAGGTGGCCCTCAACCAGCGTGCCGATTTGCAGCGCATGCGCGCCCGCCAACGCACCACGCAGCGCGAGATCGAGGAGAACAGCAAGGAGGAGCACGAATCACGCTATTGCCGCCTCTGCCGTTTGGCCTATCGACAGCCCAAGAATCTCCACCAGGCATCCGAGCATCACAAGACCATCAAGAAGTTCTTGATGCCGTACTGCGGCTCCTGCCACCTGGCCTTCAAGAACGCCATGCTCTACGAGAACCATCGCTGCTCGCTGGAGCATATTAGGGTGAGTCAGAGTCCTTGATTTAATATTCAAGTGATTAAACCAAATTTTCCCGATTTCATTCATGATAACTTAGTATTTGTATTTTAAGTAATAATGTTCAAGATATAGACAATTGAAATTTTCTTTTTTAAAGCCAACAAAATTATAAGTTATATGGAAATTTGTTGAAGAAAATTTAGTTATTCCATTCCATATTCGTTTATTATACAATACATACATTATAATAGTTTAAAAATAAATTGCATTCTGCTTTTTCATAAAAGATTTTAATCGCTATGAAAAATTTCTTTAGAAGACCCAATCTTGGATCTCCCATACAAAAGCTATTTTTGTATTCAATTTTTCCGTCCCAAAATTAGACTTCCTAATCCCCATCATCAAAAGGCATAAATTATTATTTTTGTGTGTTTGCTTGCAGAACAAGGCCCGCAACGATGAGTCCGGATCGGACGATAGCGTGGATGAGCGCGAGATTGATTTGAATAAATTCCAGACCGTGGACTCAGTAGGCGAGATCGATGTGGACATGGTCGATGCTGATGTGGATGCCATGGTTACGGAAGCGGAGAACGCTTTGAAGAGTGAGGATGAAGAGACGCGCAAACGCGCTCTGATTGGCCCAGACTTTATCAAGACCATCGAGGCCTTCTACTGCGAGTTGTGCAATCACTATTCCGGCAAGACTGACGACGTGTCACTTGAGGACTACACCAAGAAGCATTGCTTGCAGCACTCCCACGTAAAGGCTTTCCTGCGCAACAAGGAAGAGACTGAAAAGAAGGCCAAGGCGGAGGAGGGCGATGAAGAGGATCACGATGAGGACAAGAAGGCCGATAATGACGATGCGGAGGGCGATGAGGAGCTCGATGGCAAGATGAACGTGGACGAGGACGAAGAATTTGGCGACGGAGATGGAGATGGAGAAGATGGAAATGGAAGCCACGACGAAAAGTTGTGGGAGGAGGTGGACAAGGATCTGGGCGATCTTCTAGCCGAAGTGGAGCCGTTGGGACAGGAAGAAGAGGAGGATGAGGAGGACGAGTCCGTGCTTAACATTGACATTGCAAGGTATGTGAAAGGTGATCAGTTATCATGAGTATGTTGTGTAACCCGTGTCCACTTGCAGCGAGAAAAACAAGCTTAAAGACGCCAAGGAGGAAGCTAACGGCGAAGCCGATGAGGTACCAGCTAAAGACAACGCGCCGGTGGCTAAGTCGACAGAGAAAAAGCCCGTTGGCACCGCGCCATCCACACCAACGGTCAAGACCACCGCTGCCGCCAAGCAGCCGGTGAAGAAAGCAACGCCCAAGCCGGCTGCCAAAGCCGCCAAACCTGGTCCAGCTTCCACGAAGCGCAATGTCTTGGTCAGTGTGAAGCGTACATCGGCGGCCACCATTAAAGCTGCCACCAAGTCCGCGAACAATGCGGCAGCCGAATCCAAGTGAGCGATACTCGAGCAGCAGTAATATATATTAGTAATAGCAACAACCAAACCCAGTGATTGGGTTGCTACAAACATATTTCAAATATATAACTAAACCATAATGTGCTCAAATAAGTGCACACCAGAGCTGCTCTGTCATCTGGCCTCCGAGCCCAGCCTGCTTAATAAACGTCTAGACCTAACTATACCAACCTGTTCCCGTGTGTTGTCTCTATATGGCGATTGTGCATGAGGAGCTGGAGTTGGAGAGTACCTTTCTTGTACCTTTCGCCGTGTGCCACTCGAGCGCTTCAAGTTTGGCCTTTCTAAAATGGCCAAGGCTCTGGCCACCTGGCGCAAACAATGGCAGAGAAATGCCTGTCGGTCGCCAATTTGTTGGCCCCTTCAAGGTGCTCGCATGTAATTGTCAGCTGCGATATTCACAGGCGAGGAATGGCGCACGCTAAATGAGATTAACCGGCTTCAAGCCCTTGTATCACCAGCTTTGGGATAATACTTTGGGATTCAAGTTAACAAAGACGTAGTTCCAGTTTTTACTTTCACAAAGAAATGTATGTAATTTAAGTTGTTTTTTTTTTAGACACAAATGAACTGTTTCTGGTATTCATTTATTTATTAAAGCAGGCTTAATCATTGGTAAATAATTATTTTCCAACTTTGTTTTTTTTGTTATCTCTGGGTTTTTTATTGCTAAAATGATTCAGACTTTGGAATTAAAGACATTTTAAACGATTTAAAACCCATTTGACTAGTATAAGTAATAACATATCTAACTCTTTTTTTAAATTTGGATTATATATGTTGACTAAATATGAAAAACAAACGCCAATTTAAATTATTTCGTAAGTAACCGTATACCTAAATAACAGCAAAGATCCATTTGAAATTTATAAATTTAAATTCTTGATAAGGCACTTAAGGGGACTGTTTATATAGGAAAGTTATAAAGAATAACCCCGCTTATCGGATCGTGATGCTGTCAGCTCTTCCTGCTTCCATTCGAAATGTATTTATTAACCTACTGGGCGGCACATGTGACTCCATGGGGCACTGTTTGCCGTTTCCGCTTGATACTTGCCACTTGGCGGTCGGCGCCGCAAGACAATGCCGATGCGGTGGCAACCGAAAGGAAAATACATTTCATAATTTTTCTACATATTTCTGCCAAATTAACTTTCACCGCACGCCACATAGGATGATGGTGTCTTCGTATTTTCGTATTCGACTGTTATGCAATCTGTCACTTGATATGCGTGTTCGCCGGTTAATATCTTTGGTAGGCCTTTCTTACCATCCGTTCCAGCTTCCTTTCCTCGCCGCTTTAAGTGGGGCTCAGTCAGACAATGTCAAGTTTTGATTTGATCACTGGCGGCAGCATCAGGTTTTCGGGTTTTGTTCACCGGGTCTCCCCATGACGGCTAATCCCTGGCAATCGCTCATTCAGCTCGGTTAAATTGCATTCATGTTTTGACGCTAGATTTATGCGCACATTGTTCTGTCTGTGGCTGCCACAAATCCGGTTTTTGTCCCAAGCGCCGCCGTTCCATTGTGGCCGGGTATTACTATTAACATTTAATTTGCGATTCCAACTCGATGCTTCGGCTGCTGCTTTTTAGTTACGTTTTTTTGTTGTGGTTTCGGCGCTTCTATTAAGAAATTTCAGCGGTGTCAGTGCACATAAAACTTTTTATGGTCGTTATTCTGCCTTTAATTGGTTCTAAAAACATTTATTTTGTAAGCCCGTTTGGGGAGTTTTTATGTTTCAAGACGTAATTATATTTTTTGTTTTTAGAAACCGTTTTAAGATACAACAATTTCAAATATAGGTATATTATTGATTGTTGAACGGAGTAAATGTAGTGTAGTGCCTTTAACAATTAGGAAGTACGATATATTTAATCTACTACAATTTTTATTTTAATGAAAGTAAGTAACATCTTAAAAAAATCTTAAAATTGTACCATTTTTTTTAGAGCTCTTGAGATAAATTTGAAAAATGTCTGTATGATTTTAAAGTGTAAATATTTGTTTTTTGTCTGCTGGGACTGGCTGCCATCTTCCTGTTGCTCGGCCACTTTTTGCACATGCTACGGTTTAAATGCCAAGGTGGTGAGCTTGCCGCTGGGACTAGGCGAATCCAGTTATCAGCGGGGACCCACAATTTGGTTAATGCCAGCACCACTCGGACATGTTCTCCACGGACCCCAAGAATCAGAAGCCGAATCGCCAGTCATAAATTGTGTTAAATGGAATCGTTTGACGCTCGTATTGAAATGTCAGTTGGATCGCTGCCACTGGATACATCTGCGGATCACAGTGGATCCACATCTTGCCCAGGGCCATCCCGTTCATTCGGATGGCGATGGCCAATGTGCGGGTGCGTGGCTAATTGCCGCTCTTTGGCCAGATGCTTTGTTGTACACGTTTTCACATCGTTAACAATATGGTGTGTTTGTTTTATCTTTCCCCAAGGGATTTTAGCCGGCGGTTTTTTCTTGTAAAAAACCTTGGCACTCAAAGGCCTGGAATTTGCATACGTTTACAAAAGCGTCGAGATTAGAGAAAAATGTTGGTAATGATTTGATTGTGGGCATTTGTAATCGCCGATCTGTCTTTGTCTTAGGATTTTGTGAAAAATTAGCGAGCCAAAGTTACAACATTGTCAACTGAGCTTTAACTTTTCATTAACATTAACCGCTTAATTTTGTTTTATTATAAACGGCAGCAGCTTTATGTTATTTTTAATAAATATATTTTTAGTAAATGTCTTAAGTCTAAGTTATTTGCGTTATGAGAAAATAGGTTTAAATTTAATAAGATTTGGATGGTTACAAAATCAAACAGCTGTCAATGAGAGTTAAACCACAATCATTTAAACGTGTTCCTCTTTGAAATGTAAGAAAAGTTAAGTTAGAGGTGCAGTTTTTGAACACTTTTCTGCAAAGCCATTTTTAGAAAAGTTGGAAGTGACGAGAAATCGACCGAACTATATAAACCATACAGATTTTCAGAGAATTAAAAATTTTTCCAAGCCCCCAATTCGACTCAAGAAATATTAATTTACAAAAAAAGATTCTTTGTGGCTAAGTATAAATTAAAGTTAAAGTTTCAAAATATATGTATGTATGTGCATTTATTTTGTAATTTAAATTAACGTTAAAAGGCTTGTAAAGTATTTTCCCAAGTGGAAGCCGCAGAATTTATCAAAGCTTAATTTCTTAGATTTTTCCAAGCCTCCAATAAAGCCCATGAAATGTGTGAACAGTTCGCACCGTTCTTCGGCGAAACCGCAAGCGCTTACGAGACAAGTTAATTGCGCCGGTTGTGGCCGGAGCCTAAGTTAACCATGGCCAATTGGGACAATAGGCAAATGCACTTTATGGCGAGTGCGCTTTATAGATGATGGGCCCTGGTTCCGCCTCGCCCCCATTATGCAATCTTGGGATCCCCCCATCTTTGGCACGCAATTCAAATCTGGGAGCAGATACCCCACATGCCAAACAACTGGTAGTTATAATCTAATTAAGCCAACCGATGAGGTAGATCTTCTGTGTTTCTGCAGCGCCATTCTTCTCACGCCCAAAATGTAAATGAAGTTATCCGGGTGTGTCAGGGGAGTCAGGGGGGCTATCAGGGATCGGGGGTCTTGGGGCAGGGCAAGGCAGGGCAGGGGTCTCTCTTAGCAATAGCTAATGCTAATGCCGACGAGTTTACACGGCTGGCTGCCTGCCGTTGTGCGACTTGTAGTGTGAAAATCTCGGCGCTTCTTATTTTTACCTATTTTATGGATATTTTTCAACACACTCATTCATTCGGGGGTCTGTCATTGTTCGTTGGCGACTTTGTATTTTGCTGATGACTGCAACGCTTTCCCGATTTCGACCATTAAAGTCAGCGATTTATGCTGCAATCGGTATATGGCGTGAAAAGGAAACAATAACCCAGCCATCTGATTAGTGCGTAATAATCTTTTCTTTCACCGGCACCCATCTACACAGATGATCTATAAATAACCCCGCAAGGTCGGCCAGACGGCAGATGCCATTATGCTATATATCAATTGTCCCGGCCCCCCGACTCATTATCGGATCTGGCTTGGCGTGAATGGAAAGCATTAAGTTATTGCACCGCCATCATAGCGGGCAGTTGGGCATTATCGCTGATGCATGGACTTAGCCCGATCCACAGTCCATATATTTGCTCCAAATGACGGAGAAAATCAACATGAAGTGCTTGGGTCCGTCATTAAACGCTGCCCAGGTATTTGCGGCGATTATACAAAACACTTGTGGCCGCAATCCGAAATTAAAAACCAGGAAAAGGCCCCAGCAAATCATATAACAATGCGAGTCAAAAGTCAGCCAAAGAAAACCAAAGATTCCGTTTCCCCAACTCAGACCTCCAGCATGTAATCCACGGATGGCTGATCCTGTGGCCAGGGCTCATTAGCAAATTATTTTGGTGGTTGTGCATGTGCAGTGGAAGAAATGCAAATTAGTTTGGGATGATTGATTCGCTTGAATTATTTTTAAAATTTTATTATTTGGAAATATAGTTTGTTTGATTATCATAGTTTTCAATAAAGTGACTAAAAACCCAAAATAAACACAAATTTTATATGATTTTCTTTTTTATTAAGCCTTATATCCTGGTTATACATTTGTATATAAATTAAATCTATATTACTAAAAAACGTGTCTTTAGGCATGAAAAATAAACAATATTTGTATGTATAAAATTTTTTAAAATATAGAAATATTAATTTAGTATTTTAATTATAAAATTTTATTAATCATCAGCAAAATATTTTTTTATTTTAAAAGTTTAAATCAATGTTTTCTTCTATATTATACAATTAATAGCTGTTAAACTATTTCAAAAATTTTGCTATCTGGTAGTTTACAATCAAGATTTAAATTTGATTTCGACTTTTTTCTGTGTGGGGGCCACGCTTCAATGGAGTTGGGCGGCCAATCCCGGACTTGGGGCCAAAGACGGACACGGATTGTCGCCTGGTCGGATCACGAAATGTGGGGCCTTCGCTTGAGTAATTCCTTAAGCGTTTTTCATTCCGTTCGGAGTATTTTAATTGTATTTAAATGAATTAGAATGCGCTTTTTCGCTTTTAGCTCGGCCAGGTTTAATGATTCATAAATTGTCGTATACAGTCGGTTTGCTGGCTTGTAAACATAATTGAACGCTGCTAATGGAAATCTCGGATGTGGCCTAGTCAGATGGCGATAGACTATCTCTGCTGGAGATTGGATGTTTATGAGCCAAGTTGGGCTTAGGCCCCCATCTGATTATGGATTCAGTCCAAGACGGAGGGAAACCTAGACGTTTTACTGCTCCATGTAAGTTGGTTTTATGTATTGCCAAAATAAAACAACTTTTCGTTTCCCGCAAAAAAAAATTTGTAATCTGTATGAGCATGTATATTACCTATTAATTGATTGTTGTTTAAATATACGTATGGCAATTTAAAAATAATTATAAAAAATCTAATTTCCTTGGCTATTTGTAATTTATAAAATCAATCATACAACTGCTACATAAATAGGGGGTTCGCTTGTTGTGCAATAGGTTTCTGTATAACGTCATTAAGTTGCTTTATATATATTTTTTATATTTTTTTTTTTGATATTATAATGAAACCAAGATAAATTTTTACTTGCTGGAAAGTTTTATAGAAGGCGTAACTTCCCATTAACAGTTTAGTTAAATTTAAACCAATTTAATTTTTAATGCGCAACAGATCATTATTAAAGCTTTTCTCGCTGTGTGTTAAGCATTTTCTTACAACTGTTTTAACACACCAAGAACACCCCTTCCAATTAGCCACATATTATTGACCAACTCAAAGTAACTTGTTGGTATATATATCTTATGGGTAATGCCATCTCGGTTCCAAATGACCGAAAATGTTAACCAGCTGGGGAAGCATTTGCGGCATTTGGTCGGTGAGTTACTGCATAACAGTAGTTCGCCGAATGGCATTTTAATTGTCACTTGCCGTTGGTAAATTACACATTATTTATTCGTAGTACTGCCATTAACATTTACCCTGTCATATGGAGCTCTTCATGGCAATTGTAGCCACAGCTTGGCGATACATTTTCTTTGGCGACGTGATATCTTCGCAGGTCATTGCTGGCCACAGTGGCGATTGTGCAATTTCATTGTAAAACCACTTTTCATTAACAATCCGGTGGCAAGCAAAAAACGTCAAAATATATCCACCAAGTTGCCAATTAAGATCTCGACAAATGTTTTTCCAGTTCGAGTGTATCAAAAAGTATAAACTAAATGTTAAGGTTGACTCCGACTCGGTCTCCGTCTGATAACTTGATACACATAAAATTTGGAGCATAAAACTGTCGCTTGGCGGCGCAAAAAAAAAAATATTGAAGACTCAGCCAATGTGAGTTGCTGAATGCAAATGCCAAAATGTGAACTGCCAACAGCATCATCATCGTCGCCGTCATGATCATCATTGATTTAAGTGGAGTTGGCCAGAAACTGTTGCATTTCTGGTTGCTGCTGCTGCAGCAAAAAACAGCAAAAAGCACTTGAAATTAAAAGCAAAACAAAAAAATAACTGAAGAAACGGCAATAGCATAGAAACTAATACAATAATAAATAGTAGTTAAAGAAAAGAAGATGTTGCCACTGTAGATCGCATCGTAGTCTGCCGATGTTGCTGCTGCAGTCGTTGCAGTTGCTGCTGTTGCTGCTGCTGCTGCTGCATGCAATGCAACAATTTCACAAGCAACACGCAGACAACTAAATGACAATGTGAACAAAATAGCAACGACAGCAGTAGGAGAATTTATAATAAGTAACTCCGCTGGCTGCTGCTTCGATCAAGAGCTAGAGTTGCGCAAAAAATGGAGAAAAGCTAAAGCTGCTGCCGCAAATCTTCCACTTAATTATAAACTTATTTATTTGGTTAGTTTTGCCGCCGAACTGTCCTAATCAATTTGCTAAGGATGAGGAAATGGCAGCTTGCATCAGTCGGCAATTTCCACGGATTTCCCCAGCGCCAAATTTCACAGCTACCGTGTTAACTTTGACACCACCAACGCAAAGCCCCAGAAATCGGAGCCCGATCCGCGGACATAGCCTGGCATTAGCATTAGGTAAGCGGGCTCAATTAACCAGCACGGCAATCGCAATTGCCCAAATTGGCCACCGACTTGACTCCGTCCGTCAGCCGGAGTTCGCAATAAGTGATGCTGCCAGCAGGGGTTAACTGTGCCTGCCCACGCATGCGCTGAAATGTTAATTCCCAATCCCCAAACAGAAGGGCACAGTTGGCCAAACCGGATGGCATTTCGATATTTTGGAATAATGATTCGGATAAATAAGTAATATAGATGTGAGTTTAAAAAAATTAAGTTTGCTTACTTCATTTAAATCAGCATAAAGAATGGTTCTCGATTTTTTTTAGTAAAAACTAGCAATAAACATTTTACTCACTTTTCGTGTTAAATCAATAAAACTTTGTATGTGCTTTGGGTACAATTGCAAATCTTGCAAATCCGAAATTAATGACTCAAGTTATAACAAATAAAGTAATTTACAGTTCAGCAAAGCTAAACAAACCAGCAGACAATAATATATGTATGTTAAGTGCTAAACCAAGATGCATTATTATTTCCATTATAGAAATAAAGAAATACAAAAGAAATAAAATTAAAAAATAATTTACAATAAAGTTATATTATGTTAATAAAATAATCAAATGCTTAAAAAATAAAACTAGCAATAAAGCAAAAAAATATAAGCTTTTTAAATATCTTTGCTTCACTTATTATTTATAATTAATATTTTAAATAGGTTTTTACATTTACTGACCAATTGGTTTCCTTAGTAATTCTATTTATCCCCTACAGCATTTTACCGACCAACTGCAATTATTTGACCCACGGTGCCCATGCAATTGCAAATGTCAAACGAAAGACTTAAGCAGCGAACTTGCTGGCAGGGGTGGAGTTTCTCGATTGCCTGGTGCGAGTACTCGTACTGGGCTTGGGCATATTAAATATGCATTGCTAATGCAAATGAAAATGGAAACGCAAATGGTGGCCCGCATCCGAATCGAAAATGCTTGTTAAAAGTAATGCGCCCAATTTGCACAGACACAGAAAGGTTTTGCAGTCGAAAACAGAGAGACAAAAACCAAAACAAAAGTGCCCTTTAGCCTCGACCAGCCCAAATAGCCATGGCCGGCAGCCAGCTATCCCTCTCCCTGATCCAACTCCATGCCTTTCTGCTTTTCCGCTCCACTCCGACTCCGTGGGTGAGGGCGGACGGGCAATTTAGTGTCACGTTAGCATTTTCGGGGCGCTTCCAGGCGGCAGGCAAATGCCCGGGCCGTACCATTAGCCTTAACTTAACTAGCGGTTAGCCACCGACAGGGCCGTCAACGTTCAATTGGCCCCCTGAAAGCGTAGGTTCACGGAGAAAAAAATGGGCTTGTGTCTGGGGGAGTTTTTATTTAAATTACGTTTCCGAAAATAAACCTTACTTATAAATTTTGTTCAATCTAGAAAAACCTTGAAAAAAGGAGAGCTGGAAAATATTCATTAAAATATTTGTGTATTCAAAACAAATCGTGATCTTAAAAAGCATCTCAAAAATAATGTTAAATCTATCTTGTTTTGGTTTTTTGGTAAAAACAGTATTATTATACACATTTTTTCGTCAAAGTAATTTACAGTTCAATCTCAAAACAACATGTTAAGCATTTTTGAAATGTTTTAAAAAAACTTTTTAATAATACAATAAAATAAAACAGAAAGGATAATATTAGTTTGAGGGCTTTGAAAAGGACAATATTTGTTTTAATTTTGACGAGGTTCTAGTGTAAAAAATTCGGTAAAATAAAAATAAGAAATTTTCAAAAGCTAAATGGATTTGAATATATATATATAAAAGTTAAAAAAAAGAAAAAAAAAGAAATCCAGAAGGACTTTAACAAATGGCCGTTTAGCAATGGCCTCTACAACTGCTTGTAATTGCACTGGCTAAATAATCGAAAGAAGAGGAACATTTTTAATACGTGTACATAAAAGACAAGTGATATTTTGACCTCTTATTATTAAGTCTGAATTAATCTATTTTTCCCCCAGTATTGTTGTGTTGTTTTTGGAGAATCGAAGCGGAGAAGCGGCGGCAGACAGACCTTTCTCTTTGTGTTGGTGCCTGGCTGGCACGACGAGCCGCAAAGGTCGGCGGCGGCTTGAGCTCGGAACTCGGGGATCGAAGCTCGGCTCTCGGCGAGACTCGTATGTTTTGGCCACGGGATTTATAAATACAAGTGTTGGCCCCACAACGCCAAAGATTCGTTGGCTGAACGTGCAGCAGCGCGCGCAATATATTTAATCCGATCCCAAAAACCATCCGAAACGGAGCTTCAGCTCCTGGAAAAAAAGCAGGAAAGCAGAAGACGGTAAACCAATCTGTCCATCTTTCATCCAATTTGAAGCGTTACGAATTTCGCGCCAAAAACAATCCAAGGATTACGGGATACCAATTTCAAGCTGAGATTGCCACTCAGACTTTGATTCAGTTTCAGTTTCGGTTTCGCAATTCGCAATTCGGTTTCAATGTTGGATTGTGTCGAATCTTCAATTGCATAACTGCAGTAATAATCGCTTCGTGTGCTGTGCTTCTTTGGTTCAGTTCGCAGTTGCAGCCGGCAATGCTCGATGCAGATGCAGCAGATGCGGCCATCGTAATCCCAACCGCCTGACAAGGAAAACGAAAACGACTGGGAAAAATAACCCAAGTGACTGTGAAAGTAACGAACGGCCAGACACAGATTCAGATATTCAATTACTAGTCTGCTGGTGCAGTGCCGCCACACAATGAGAATCCAAATCTTGGTCCTGACACTCTTGCTGGGTGAGTAGACATCGAGATCTGCGTGAACTGGTAGCTTAGACATTTTTTTGAAAGTTTTAGATAGTACTTGGTGCCTAAAAAGTGTGCAACATTATTTCAAGGGATAATGCCAAAATGTGCTTCGAATTTATGCTTATTTTTTTTATTATGCAAAACCAAATTGCAACATTAATAATTTATTTGAAAATAAAAGAAATTAATGAGTAAAAAATCGTATATCCTCGAAGAGCCATAATATTACATGGATATTTCATTGAGAATTTTACAACCTTTAAAAAATTATTAAGTCTTTTCTGTAAAAGAGCATACTAATTTTCTCATCATCTTTTTAATGTGAAACTTACCTGCATTAGCATAACCTTTTACTTTTAATTTCTGCTTTATTGTAAATAATTTTATCTCAAAGTTCAAATTAAAATGTTATATCTTTTTAATGGCCTTATACTTATTGGTGCTTTTGAATAAGCAATAATAATCGAATAAGCTATACAATTTTGAATACATCATTGCTCGACATATTTGATTAAAAAAATAGCTTATAAAATGGTTCATTATACTATTATATTTTGTAAGAACTAAATCGAATTTTAGTTTTATATGCTTTCTAAGTTTACTTTGAAACACCTCAAAAAATGTGTATTACAAAAAGGTAAGTATGACCCTTTTTAGAAGAGGAATTGCCAGTATTAATTTATTAATTTGCACCAATACCAAGTGAAAAGAAAATTGAATGTGAAAATCAAATAAATTCTGTCAAAATTAACCTTTTTGGTGAATGAGAACAAACTTTATTTCCCACCAGCTTTAATCTAAAGTATCGATAATTGTGACACCGACACCTTTCCTCCCACATAGGCCTCGTCTGCGCCCAGGCCGTGGATGCGGGGGCCAAGAGCAGCCAAGACAGCAGCGGCAGTCGGGCGGCGGAAGACAGCAAGAGCTCCGCCTCCACGCCACTGGAATCGGAGGCGACCAAAGACAAGCGACAGGTGAGCTCCAAGGAGACGCCTCTGTACCCCAACCACCGCAGCTCGGAGGCCTCTCCCTCGGGCAGCGATGATCCCGAGGATGGCCAGGAGACCATCTACGGCGCCAAGCCGAATCAGTTCATCATCCGCCCTATTGCCCCACATCAGCACCAGCAACATGAATCGCACCAGGAGCCCCAGCTGAGGAACTTCGCGGCGGCCAATTCCCGACCTCATGCCGCCCAATTGCTCGAACAGAGCCAGGAGGTGAGTCGGGCAGATATATGTATATTTTATAGGGTTTCGGATTTAAAAGTTAATATATTATAGCTGATCATAAATATTAAACTCTTTATTACCTTATCGAAATTTATTGAACATACTAAACAGTATGTTATAGAATTGCAAACGATTTAAAGATTAGCAAAATAAATAGTAAAACGTATAGCCAAAACAAATTGTAATTTAATTTCAATTTGACCATATACTAAACCTATTACTGTTTTATTGATTAAAGCCAGATTTAGATATCTCAGGAATTATTTGGATTATGCAACGTTTTATTAACATTTCTGCACATCACTTGAAGATTTTTTGCAATTTACCAATATGTAAATTGACTCTGTGCTCATAAATGTTGATAAAATGTCAGGAGGCAACTAATTTTTAAATTATTTGCGCAAACAGTTTGTTTAGATTTAGTTAATCAACTTAGGAGTTTTGACCTATAAAGCCTCCAAATCCGAATCCGAACCTGGATCCCTGGGTGCTCCACAGGGAGTGGGTGATCTATTGATCGACTGGCCAACTGACGGATTACCAATGCCATGAGGGATTGCAGTGTCTGTTTGTTTTGTGCCAATCGGGGGGCGTTCCATCGACATCGCGGCTGTTGTCTGAGGTTTTAACGTGGCCCGCGGCCATCAGACATTGGGCATTGGACATCGGACGACCTGGGATCGTGACTTGGCATCGGCGGCAACCACACGATTCTTTGCAAAATGCCGGATGTAAACATCTCGTCCGTCCGCAGTCATAAAAGGCAAAAGCCAAAAGGCCCAATCCCAGACGGATTTTGTCAAATTCTCCCTTTCGCCGAGGCCAAGAAACCTTGACCAATATCTCCCTTCGCTCGACGGTTTATTTTTGGAACGAATTGCAATAGACGCAGACAAAGGCGATTGCAATTAGCCAAAGACAATGTTTATGTTGCAAAATGTATAGAAATTAAAAGTGCCGGTAAAAATAATAATAATAATGATATTTTTATTATAAATGCAATCGGCAAAACTAAGTCACGACATGACGGCGACGGCGACAGCAACAGCAACAAATGCATAATTGCAAAATTATTGTTTGTCTTATTACGCGTCAACACAACAATTTCCACCTCCCTTTCAACTCGTATTTCCAACGTTCGCCATTGGCTTCTTCTTTTTCCTCGGGTCCTCACCTGGTCTTATAATGCAAGACATCGGAACACCGTGGAAAAACAATGGCGCTTGTCGTGGGAAGAAAGTTGACATAATGTTATAATCACCCCACTTTTGGTCTGTCAGCTTTGTGTCGCTTGATGGCGCCTTGACTTGCCGGCGGCTTTATTTGCCATAATAATGGGAACCGCCGATGCCACACTATCCAGCAGGTTTTCCAAAGAATTAACGAGTTTCTTTAGCTAATATTTGGATTTTTGTGATATTATAAAGAAGTGTTTTGGTTAAATAACGTATAAATTATATAACATTATCGAGAAGAAAGTAGAAATTTATTAAAACCTGAACAAAAAAATCTATTATTTAGGAATAGGTTCATAAATATTATATTGCTCTAAGCACAAAGGAAATACTTAAAATTCAAGGTATTTCTGACATACAATTTTATTATGTTCATTTTTAAATAGAACTTCTTAACAGAATTTTAATTATTGTACCAGGTGGCATTTTTCAAGCTATTTCTAGAATATAGTTCGTTATATTTTTAGTTCATGGGGAAAATCAAATATTCTTCATTTCAATTTTCAGGGCTTACTTATAGTAGCTTAAAATAAGATTATAATATGGTGGATCTCTTGTTTATTCCTTTATTTGTATGTTTCGGTCTTTCAATTGATCTCTTTATAAGGCCCACACAAACGGTTCCTTTTACGGCGAACCCTTGCCATGTTGCACAGTGCTATGTTTATGTTGCAACATCGAAGTGCCGTAGACGTTGTTGTTATTGTGCTTGGTGTTGGCGTTGCCAAAGTTTGCCACAAGTGTTATATAAACTCATTTTTTAGATGCCACGCCATTCTCACAGCGTTTGCTGCTTTGAAGCACCTGCATGCAGTTGTTGCCTCTGTGGTTTTGCTTGCTATTTTATATTTCTTTTCTTTTTGTTTTTGCTAATGGTGATGGTGTTGGTCATGTGGCTCCACTTTAAACGGCTGCTGACATTGGCCGCCGGCTGAATGTTGCCAGTTCACACACCCACCGCCGCCGCCCACAAAAACACAAAACCATAATTGGTCGCCCCCTCTCACTTTTTCCCACCCGTATCTCGAAGGTGCAGCACTACGTGTATCTGCAAGATATAATGCGCCATCATCAGCCCAAGGCCCTGGTGGCCGCGGGTCAAGGCAAAGGTGCGGCCAGTGCGCCCAAGAAGTCATCCACTCCAGTGGCCGAGGAGGAGCAGGAACAGGAGCAGGAGGCGGAGCAGCGATACGCGGTGTCCATTCAGCCACAGCCACAGCACCAGCAGCCACGTCCACGTCAGTATCAGGGAGTGGGTCCCTATCAACTGCCATTGCCATTGCCTGCTCCCCAGCATCAGTCGCTGAATCCTCACCAGCAGCAGCACCAGCAGCAGCAACATCAGCAGGTTGGTTATCCTAATAAATCTATTAAGATCTGTAAATATTGTTTTCAATTACTTTAAAGCCCTACCAAGTGATTCCCGAGGAGCAGTTCCTGAAACTCCTGGAGGAGGAGCTGCAGGCGAGGGCCTATCATGATCAACTGCGCCAGCAGCAACAGCAACATCAGCAGCAGCAGCAACAGCAGCAACAACATCACCAACAGCTTGTGCAACAGCAACCGAAACAACTGCCTATCCACAGTACAGCTGCCACCCACAAGGTGCTACAACAGGCTGATCCTTCCCTGGGATTAGGAGGCTATCGCGAACGTTATGTGGCCGAACAGGAGCTGGTGACTCCCACTTACTCCCATCCCCGTGGCGGTCCTAAATATCTGCCCCTGCCTCAGTCGCAGCAAATTCAGGAGGAAGAGGAACAACAGCAGCAACAGCAGCCACAACGTGTGCAGCTCCACAAACCTGGGCCTCATCCCGGCCAGCAACTCATCCATGGACTGCCACCACAGATTGCCTACTACCAACCACAGATCAGTTACAAGACCCTGCCCAATCATCCGCTGGCCAAATCCTCTCTAGAAAGTGAGATTGAGAAACTGTTGGCTGCTAATAAACCAGGACAATCGTTGGCCTACGTGGACAGCAGCAATGAGCAGGTGTCGATACGCCAGCCACCTCCTCAGCACCCACCGCCACCCACCTCGCATCCTGCTCTGAGGCAACCAAAGGCATATTTGGCCAGCACACCCAACTCCCTGCTGGATGCGAACAACCAGCCATTTATCCCGTCGCTTTTCAAGTTCAGCAACTACCAGCAACCGACGCCCATTTATCCCACGCAGGAACCCAAGCGATTGGGACCTGTGGTCTATCCCACGCAGCAGGCCAATCAGCCGCAGCCCTCGCAGTATTACTACCAGGAGACCACGCCCACCGGGGCACCCAAACCAAGTCCCATTCCCAAGCAGTACCACCGCTCGAAGCACTATAAGTTGGCGTCGCCCACGAAGGCTCTGCTCTATGCCGACTACGATCGTCAGGGATCGCCTTCTCCGCCGCCGCCATCGAACTTTTATCCCAGTCCGCCGGATCCGATAAAGCATGCCCAGAGAACTCTGGCCGTGACACCCACAGCTCTGCCGCTCCACGCTGAATATCCCTTACCATCTCCCTCGCAATCCAGTATCTATGTGTCCCAGGGAACGGGCATTGCCACGCCATCCCGTGCCACGCCCACTACTGCTCCAATTCAGAAGCTCCGGACTCTGGATGAAGTGAAGCAGCTCAACCTGCCGCCTCCCAATGGTAAGCCCCTCACACAGGCCGAGTTCCAGGCCCTCGTGGATGCAGGATACCCAGTGAAGGCAGTGCCCGTGCCAGTTCCCGTCCCGTATGAGCAGTATGTGAAGGATCACCCGGAGTACCGCAATCATCCGCCCGTAGACTACGCTCACATCATGCGTTTGGCCACGCGGCAATTGGCTGCCCATCAGCAGCACAGATCGCTGGGCGCTCCATCGGAACCGTCGGTCAAGATCCTGTCCACTCCGTCCGCCGGAGAGCTGCACCAACAGACGGCCACTGGAATTGGCGGCGGTAGCATCACGTATTTGCAGCCCATCGAGGGGCAATCCCATCCCCACACCCTGGCCCACGTCCATGCGCTGCAGAAGAGGAGGCCGCGTGATGAGCAGGACACCGCAGTGGCGGGCAGTGAGCCCAAGGCGGCGGCTCCCGAGGCGAAGCCAGCGAAGGCGAAGGTGCAGTAAACCCACGTCCTGTTTTAGTTAAAATGTCCTTGCCTAGTTTTTAAGTATTGTAAAAATGTTTCAGCACTTCCTTAATGTTAAATTATAAACCGACAAATAAAAATATAAAAACTAACAAATAAAGGAATTTAGAGGTATGCCACTTTGGAATCGGCTTAATGTTGGCAAAGTTATGGACTCTCGAAGACCGAAGTCCAATTTTAAGTCACTCTTTTACAAAACATTGGAATATTAAAAATATCTAACATGAAAATGGGTCAAAAATTTGATCAACGTTAAATTGAAAATTTTGAATGCAGATTTTTAGAGAATCGAATCACGAGTCTTTAGAGGTATGCCACTTTGGAATCGGCTTAAGTTTGGCAAAGTTATGGACTCTCGAAGTCTAATTTTAAGTCACTTTTTTACAAGACATCGGAAAATTAGAAAAAACTAACATAAAAATGAGTCAAAAATTTGATCAACGTTAAATTGAAAATTTTGAATGCAGATTTTCAGAGAATTGAATCACAAGTCAAATTTTAAGTCACTCTTTTACAGGACATTGGAAAATTAGAAATAACTAAAATGAAAATGGCCTTTTTCAAGCTCTCAAGGTTCTTTGATTTAACATTTCAATTTCTACTAAAAAAAAAACGCAGTTTAAAAACTAATTTTACGTTTATTTTGCTCTACACAAAACTCTTGCATCATAGGTCCTGACCCAATGGAACCCTCACTTAGTTAAGGTTCATGGGCGGAAGGCTGTTGCTGTTGCTACTGTCCGCCGAGCTGAGCGTGTCCGGAGTGGCTGTCTCTCGGGCTTGCAGGCGCGATATCTGCGGATCACGCTTGTCCTTATCCTTGCGCTCGCGATCCTTATCCTTATCCTTGTCTTTGTTGTGCTTATGCTTGTGTTTGTGCTTGTGCTTCTTCTTGTCCTTCTTCTTTTTCTTCTTGAGCAGACCATCGCCGGACTTCAACTTGCCCTCCTCATAGCTACTCTCATATTTGGTAGAGTCGCCCACATCGAGCATTATGGATGAGTTATCATCCTCGGCGTATATTTCGGTCTTAAGGCGCTTAGTTGCCTGATGGGATTCGCTTGCTTCGTCATCTGCCGGCAGGATGTTCACTTTGGTCTCACTGTCATAGGCCTGAACATTGAGCGGTTCGTCCAGCACTGTGATCTCTTCGCTGCGCTCCAGCTTTATGATCTCATCGCCCACCTCAAATGCTTCAGTGGCCGTCCGCTTGATTGTAACCATGGCGGGCTTGTGTCGCTCCTGTGGCTCATTGTCCATGATGTCAATTAGCGCTGGAGGTGGTTTCGAATCACTGGTCTTCTTGAAACTGCCGGTCACACTACTTGCACTCCCACCATTATCTTTCATCAAATCCTTATAAAAGCTTTGGTTTTCCCCAGCTTGCAAACAACTCGGTCGCTTGCTTCCGTACAGAGCGTAGTACAGATCCACAATATCGCAACGCAGCTTGGTGTCGTAGGCCAACGTGTTGATGCTGAACCACAGGCGGTCTACGAGATTGGGTTTATCCAGGCGGCTGCGAGATTCGCGAGTGAAGGGCGTATTATTGATCAGTAGTTGGGCTAGGGCATGGCGTGCCGCCGGATCGGGATCTGTTTCGAGCAGGGTGATCAAATGCTCCAGATCCTCGCTTCGTCCATCCACCTTCACAAAGTCCACCAGACACTCCATGGCCGCAATGCGAAGATCCAGATAAATTCCATACTCCGCATAGCTGCGGTAAATGTGCGGCAGTGAGGGCAGATGACCGAACTTTTGCAGCTTTCGGATGACCTTCAGGCAGGAAACGGACACCATGTACTTGTACGAGGGCAGGTGCTTCTCCATATTAAGCAGGCGAGTCACTTCATCTAGCACCAGCCTGCGGAAAAAAATTTAATAAACAAAAGCTAATTATTTCCGCGTTGCAATCTTACTTTGCATCTGTGGAAAGACTGTCCGTGGTGATCTGTGTGCCGTGGATGGCAACGGAGACCACAGGTGTTAGAGTTTCGCCCAGAGCTTCCACTAAAGCAGCTCGATAGTAGGCATCTGTATAATGGTTGCGCGAGTTCTCATTATACTTAAAGAGATCGAAGAGGAAACGCATTACTTCCGGGGGGCAAATGCCGTGAGATGTGCGCAGACCTGAAAAAGGAAATCGAAGTTAATAAAATATTCACCAACTCTTAGCTCTTAATTAGCCTCTCACCTGCCATGGCCACGGGAATTGCCTTCTGCAGGAAGTACAGCTGAAAGTTAGAGAAGTTGTTCAGCTTGATAATGTGCGGAGCACTAAAGGAGCCGAAAAACTTCCTGAATATGTTCAGCATTGCGGGCGGACCGCTCCAGGAAGCCACCATCTGGTTGGCCACTTTGGTCAAGCTGTGGGCCGCCTCACAGCGCACTTGGTAGAAACAACGTTCGCTTTCAATGGTGTCGGTTAAGGCGAGTCTAGTAGCATTTGTGGGGTACTTCTGCAGGGCCTGGATGGCCTGGAATTGTGCAGTGACATCACGTTCATGCCGAAGCTGATATTGCCATTGGAAGTCGGGCTGCTCGATGATGAGGTCACGCAGCAGAATCATCTCCGGGTCGAGGCGGATCCAAAGCACAGGCGAGTCGCTAAAAGAATCAGATAATTAATGAATTGTTTTTAAGGACATTTCTTTAAAAGCTCACTCCATGGCTGATAAATCCATGTCCACCTCCTCGCCGGTACACAAAGGAATCTTTTTCTTTTTATTACGCCTGCTCTTCGAGTGGCAAGTAATATCCGCCTTCACCAGGGTGTTCTCAATCTGCAGAGTGTGCTTGAATGTACCATCCAACTCCTGCAGCTGCACTAGCAATGGTCCATTGTATTTCCTTACTCCCCTCTGATTAACAAAGTCCTGTCGGATCTCCAGTTCGATTGTGTTCCTCTTGCGATTGAATACAGATGTCAGCGAGAATTTAGCGTGGCCTCCAGTGCGCACCCACTGGTCCATGAAAACAGACATATCCTTTCCCGTGACCGTGAAGATGGCCTTGATGAAGATGTTGGTGGAAATGAGCAGCTGAGACCAGAGACCTGCGCCAATTTTCGTAGATGCCGCATTGGTAGCCAAAGCCAGCTGCTTGTTGAACACTTGAATGAGCAACTCCTGGCCGATGCGATGCTCCAACATCCGGATTACCAAATGCGCCTTTCTGCGCATTGCCTCCACGTATTTGGGCGACACGGTGTGCAAACTCTTAATAGGGAAATAGTGGACAATCTCCTGCTGCTTGCTAGCAGCTGCCGATGGATTCGTACCGGAAACGGGTAATGGAGCTGGAGGCTGACTGCAATCGAGGATAATTCCGCCGTACTGTTCCTCGTAGCGAACGACCCGCGCCAGTTCGGATTGTACCCAGGCGCGGTACTCGTTGTTTCCGAAACACTTCCTCGAATACAGACCGCACAGGTACTCGGCGATGCCTTTGGCCAGCCAAGTGTCCGACCAGTGGTGTGATGTGATGAAGCAGCCAAAGAATTGCTCCGCCACAGCCCGTGACATAAAGGTTCGAGATACATAGGTTTGATCGATGATTGCTATCGAGTGCAACAAGTTCACCGAAGCGATGCTCATGGTCGCATAGGCACTTATGTCCGTGTCCAACTCATCTACAAACACCTGTTTGTAGCATGAGAACGGGTAGCGCGTGGAAAGGGTCTCCTCGAAGAACTCAAAGGCCTCGTGCAAGTAGCGAACAGTATTCTTCAGCAGAGGTAGCATACCGGGCAGACAAAAGTGGGTCACCTCGTGCATATGGGGATCTACATAGATCTCGAATTGACCCACGGCCAGAGCAATGTTCGGTGCACACACAGGAGTTGTCACCGTGTAGTGAAAGGTCTTCTTCCGAAGATCTGGGGTCATAATAACTTCCACGAGTTCTCCACACGAAACTGCAGTCAGATTCTTGTCCACGGTGAACTCCAGCCGCCAGGTGCAAGGATCCGCAAAGCTATCTACGCAGGGAAACCATAACCGCGTGGAGTTCTCATAGCAGTTGGTAAACAAATGCGAGCAATTAATCTGTGTCTCATCGTCCGTGGAAGAGGGAGGTATAACAAAGTGTACTCCGCTTTTGGGATTCTCCAGCGAGAATTCGATGCGGATGCGCAGCCCCTGTCCCTCCTGGATCATGGAGTAGCCCTCGGGCGGCACCTGGATCAGCAATTCACCATTGTTCACATCCGGATCGGTGATCTGGGCGGCGGACAGATGGTGCGTGGAGTACACTTCCAGTACGCGGCTCTTGGGATCCTTGTGCGTGATGTCCTGGAAGGGATCGAAGTAAACGAACTCCGCCTGGCAGACATCATTCAAAACGACGCTGTAGATCCGCAGCTGTTTGGCATTAAGGCGGATGAGGCGCAGGTTCTCGCTGTTAGGTACTATTGTCAGCTCGACCACGCCCTGAAAGATGGATGTGTTGGCATATAACTTAGACATATCTGATAGACATATATCATATCCTTACGATTATGCTCTTCCTCTCGAAACTGATGCCCGTGAGACTCACAACCTGATGCGCCGTGCTGGTGGAAGGGAAAAATCTTTATTATGGCATTCCTAAAAGATCGGGGGTGTACTTATAGTTTAAACGGACGCAGCGGCACCTCGGGCACCTCAGGTTGCGTTTCCATCGCTCAGTTGCCGGTTCTTCTCCAGAATTTATTAAATAATTTGCGTTTGTTATCAAAAAACAAGAGCCCTGTTTAACTTCTTCTTCTTCTCCCTGTGAATGCCGACAGGGCTAAAAATACCAAATAATATGTTGGTATATTGGCAACTCTACGTGGTGATGCAGCCCTACAGACATCGTTTAACCCTTCCGTGGTATTTTGGTGTTTATTTGTCCCCTTTGTAAAGTTTTAATTAACCATAATTATTTATGTTTCACCCACAAATTATGAACTAATAACATTAATTTAAAAACTAGGTACCAGCTTAGCAGTTTTTTGTTGCAAACTAATAGCTGGTAATAGGTCGAACCATGTACATAATTTAACAGTCTGAAAAAGTCATTTATTAATATCGGTTCGAATACATAAACAAATGTATTTCTTTTAGTTTTATTAAATGAAACTCGAACTTTCATAAATTGAATGTTCACCCTTTCTAGCATGGACTCTTATATGTAAAGCGAAAATAAATGATTTTCACAAGGGTTAAAGATTATGAATCATTTACCGAGAAAGTTAAATTTGGATACTTCTCCCATTTAAAGCGTTCAATTCCCAGCGAGTCAGCAGTTTTACCACGGCAGCGAGTTAATCAACATCTGGATACAGATAGTTCCATAGATTTAGCCGATTTAGAACGTCATAAATCCGTAGAATTAGGAAAAACCCGTGCGTGGAAGTGAAATACTGCGTTAAAAATGTACGGCATTGATAATTACCCCAAGAATTATCATGCCAGTGGCATTGGCCTTGTCAATTTGGCGGCCTTGGGCTACAGCAAGAATGAAGTCAGCGGCGGGAGCGAAGGAGGAGCACCCAAACCCAAAGCGGGTCTGTACCCCTCGCTGCCCTATCCCTCATCGGAATCCGTGGGCGGAATGCCATATGTGGTGAAGCAGACGAGTCACGCCCAGAATACCTCGTACCCGGGACCCGGAATGGGTATGGGTATGGGCATGGGAATGCCCATGCCGGGAGCGCCATCAGCACCAGCACCCTATCCGAGTGCATCGCCATACCAGGGTGGTGGTATCTATCCCAGTCTGCCCTCTGTCAATTCATCGCTGCCGTATCCCAATACCTCTCTGGCCCCCTACCCATCCGGAATCCCCTACCCAACTGGAATGCCGCAGCCCAATCTTCCCTATCCTGCTGCTCCGCTAGCACCATATCCCTCTGCAATGCCCAGTTTGCCCGGCATGCCAATGCCGTATGCTCCGATGCCAACTAGTCCGGCTCCGCAGCACGGCGGAGGATTCCCAGCTCTGCCATATCCCACGGCTCCACCACCGGCCAGTGCCCCAACTCAGGAGGAGGAACCTTCCGTGGGCATTGCCGAGCTGAGCTTCACCAGCGTAAAGGTGCCGGAGAACCAGAATATGTTCTGGATGGGTCGCAAGGCCACAAGTACCCGACAGAATAGCGTCAGCAAAGGAGATTTTCAATCGCTGCGCGCAAGCTGTGTGGCCAATGGAACCATGTTCGAGGATCCCGACTTTCCGGCCACCAATGCATCGCTGATGTACTCCCGGCGACCTGATCGTTACTACGAGTGGCTACGTCCCGGCGACATCGTCGATGATCCGCAGTTCTTCGTGGAGGGTTATTCGCGATTCGATGTCCAGCAGGGAGAGCTGGGCGACTGCTGGCTCCTGGCCGCAGCTGCCAATCTGACGCAGGACTCGACGCTGTTCTTCCGGGTGATCCCACCGGATCAGGACTTCCAGGAGAACTACGCCGGCATCTTCCACTTCAAGTTCTGGCAGTATGGTAAGTGGGTGGAGGTGGTCATCGATGATCGTCTCCCCACTTATAATGGGGAGCTGATCTACATGCATTCAACGGAGAAGAACGAGTTCTGGAGCGCCCTGCTGGAGAAGGCCTACGCAAAGCTACATGGTTCTTATGAAGCTCTCAAGGGTAAGCCAAAGGAATTTAATTGTTATAAAGAACTCTTATCAATAATCCTAAAAAATGTAGTACAAACATTGTGGTATAGCAACATTTGTTATATTCATTTCTAAAAATACAACATGCTTATCGTAGATTCTTCATTATTATTTATGTTAATGTGGTCCATTTTGTGGTTGACAGTTTGTTGTTGCGATAAGTAAATAACTCATTTTTGCCTCGAAACAACAAAGTTCTGAAATATTCGCTTACATCATTAATTTCAATTCCGATAAAGCAATCGTATTATAAATAAAAAAAAAAACCTATAATTAAGTATAATTTAAAATCAATTGTAATCATTATTTCTTTACATCTAGGCGGCACGACGTGCGAGGCCATGGAGGACTTCACCGGCGGCGTCACCGAGTGGTATGACATCAAGGAGGCTCCTCCAAATCTATTCAGCATCATGATGAAGGCCACTGACCGCGGCTCGATGATGGGTTGCTCTCTGGAGCCAGATCCAAATGTTTTGGAGGCAGAGACGCCTCAGGGTTTGATCCGCGGTCATGCCTATTCAATTACCAAGGTGAGCCTCTTGGACATCTCGACGCCGAATCGCCAGGGCAAGCTGCCCATGATCCGTATGCGTAATCCATGGGGCAATGACGTTGAGTGGAGCGGTCCGTGGAGCGATAGCTCTCCTGAGTGGCGCTTCATTCCGGAGCATACAAAGGAGGAGATTGGTCTAAATTTCGATCGAGACGGCGAGTTCTGGATGTCCTTCCAGGACTTCCTTAACAACTTTGATCGCGTGGAGATCTGTAACTTGTCGCCCGACTCTCTAACTGAGGATCAGCAGCAGAGCTCTCGCCGCAAGTGGGAGATGTCCATGTTCGAGGGTGAGTGGACATCAGGCGTAACGGCCGGAGGTTGCAGAAACTTCCTGGAGACCTTCTGGCACAATCCGCAGTACATAATCTCACTGGAGGATCCCGACGACGAGGACGATGATGGCAAGTGCACGGCTATTGTGGCCTTGATGCAGAAGAACCGGCGCAGCAAGCGCAATGTTGGCATCGATTGTCTGACCATCGGATTTGCTATATATCACTTGACGGATCGGGACATGCAGGTAAAGCCCCAAGGAGTGAACTTCTTCAAGTATCGGGCATCGGTGGCCCGATCTCCGCATTTCATCAATACGCGCGAGGTGTGCGCCCGGTTTAAATTGCCTCCTGGTCACTACCTGATCGTTCCCTCGACCTTCGATCCCAATGAGGAGGGAGAGTTCATCATTCGCGTCTTCTCCGAGACCAGGAACAACATGGAGGAGAACGACGACGAGGTGGGCTTTGGCGAGACAGATGATCGCATTGCTCCGGCTCTGCCGCCACCAACTCCAAAGGAGGAGGACGACCCACAGCGCATTGCCCTGCGCCGCTTGTTCGATAGCGTGGCTGGCAGCGACGAGGAGGTCGATTGGCAGGAGCTGAAGCGCATCTTGGACCACTCGATGCGCGATGTTATGGTGGGCAGCGATGGCTTCTCTAAGGATGCCGTGCGTTCGATGGTGGCCATGCTGGATAAGGATCGCTCCGGTCGCCTGGGCTTCGAGGAGTTCGAGGCTTTGCTTACCGATATTGCCAAGTGGCGGGCGGTATTTAAACTATATGACACCCGTCGCACTGGCAGTATCGATGGTTTCCATCTGCGCGGAGCGCTCAATTCGGCTGGCTACCATCTGAACAACCGGCTGCTGAACGCCCTGGCCCACCGCTACGGATCGCGGGAGGGACAAATACCATTCGACGACTTCCTGATGTGTGCCATCAAGGTGAGGACATTCATCGAGATGTTCCGCGAGCGGGACACGGACAACTCGGACACGGCCTTCTTCAACCTGGACGATTGGCTGGAACGAACCATTTACTCTTAAATTACTTGCAATTGATACTAATCTAATCCTAAGTGCCACGTTTACTTATTCTTAATGTGCGTTATTCATGCCTGCTATGAGCGAAAACAAATCCATGACGATACAGCCCGGAGATCGGGAGAGATACATTCACTTAGCCAACAAGAGAATCTTATCAAATGAACAAATCCGGAAACAACATCATGTGGCGAAATTGGAGTGGCCTTGGAATGGCATGAGGTCGCGATATTACCCACATACACAATTTATACAATCAGCACTATAGATTTTATACTATAGAGAGCAGCTGGAGCGATGACTAAGAGCGAGCATCAAAAAAAGCTCTATTGCACCTCGACAAGAGCCGCAAATTTGCTAGTACAAACTGAAAAGTGCATTACTACCTTCTAACAGCCATCAACAATATTTATAAGATATACGGAATGAATAAGCATGTATTTTTATAACGTAATCTCAAACCGGCCCATTACATATTAGTTCAGGTGCTAGAGCTATATCAAATCTGAATCTGTTGTCCAAACAAACGTTGTTATTGTTATCAGGGAAGCAAAGCGAATCGAACAGAACCAGTAACTCATCGAATAATTATAAGCAAATATCTGAAAATTTATTAAATTACATTAGAACTTGTACTTTCCCTTTTATTTGTATTTAGTTTTTGATCGGTAATCTGAACTAGCACGCTCTATGTTAAAATAAGTGTTTTCTAAATGTCAAACTAACTGAAATTAACCTATTGGGATAAGAGGCTTTTTGTTGGACGCTTTTGTACTATATACTATAATTTTTATGAACAATTTCACTAATCAAAATTATTTATCTAAATGTAATTGTTACTTTCGAAAATTTAATTGTTGTATGCCTTCTTTTTTATGTAAATAAATAAACAGCAGTTCATCTATTTGACGGTTATAACCATATCGGCACCGCTAGGGACTCCAGCATCTACCATTATCTGTTTCATTTCGTCTATCGATAAATCGTTGTCGGAGGCCAAGTTGTTTAGAACCTCTAAAAAGTCTTCATATTCTAGGCGCCATTTCCTAGAGGGTTTATAAAAACATAGTTAAATGAGACATTGAAAGACATACTAAATTTCCATATTTTATATATGTTATTTGGAACTTGATATTACTTTATGTTTAGTAGAAACTTTTTTTAGTTTGATTGATGATTATAAATTGCAATGTTGGTATAATATCTATCTAACAATGTTACTTACTTGTATCGCATATAGATAAGACCCGTCTGGGTTCGTGTAATTGGATTTGGCATGAGCTTCGCCTGCTCCAGCCAGGCATCCAGTTGTGAGAGTAGTATGCTGTCAAAACTCTCGTTCTCGATATCCGTCGGCACCACCTGCCTCCGAATAATTCTCTTGATGCTTAATACTCTTTATTGAACAATTCGTCATACCTGAAAATTGGCATACACCAGGAATAGGGTGTCCAGGGTGTGCTTCTTAGGTTTATCTTCATCATCGGCCATGGTTAATTTTCAGTCAGCAGTTCATAAAATCGATTGTGTTCAAATTAGAATTGCTTTTTTTTGGCAGATAAAGAAAAGTATTCTATGTGGGTGTTGAGTCTATATGTATTTTGAATTGTTTTGTTGATAAACAAAGCGTTCAGAGAATGGGAAGCTATCTAGACGACTGTTGCCATGGGCACAGGCGTCGTTTTATTATTGTTTATTGTGAAAGTTGGCGACGATGCGCCTGACGTACGGCAGTAATTTGGGGTCACACCCATCGCTTCTGATATTTTCCACTCCGTACGGGGCTACTATGACCACCTGATGGAGTATATTGATGCCCACGTTGTCCCCAAGATTTTGCCACTTGACAGGGGCATCTCCGAAATGCTTGACCAACACCCTAAATAAAGCTTGACCAAAAGGGGATGCATTGGCGTGATAACTTCGGTAGGAAATGGAACGCTGTTCGGTCGTCATTCGCAATCGCTCTTGGAGCTAAAATGGGAAATGATAGAGCTTTGGGGCTTGACATTTATCTAGAGCAGCTACCATATGGATATTAATCGGTTCTGGCGTTTGAACATCCTCCATGGGCAGCATTTCCTTGACTATCTCTATGTCCACGCACATGGAAATATTCACAATAGTGAGTTTCCAGATGGTCTGCTCATCACCACCACCTTTGCTTGAGGGACACTTCATCATCAGCATTTTAACGCCAAGATCAAAAGCCACCACCTAGGGTAATAAATGCATTATGTAATAATGATTAATAAATATAAATATTAAAACTATAAATTTACCTCTCCCGAAATATTCTCCCCAAAACAAGTTTTGCAGCGCACTATTGAGCCCACGGTGAAGCAAGGAGCCAGCGACGACATTTTTTCAGGCTGAGAAATAAATGCTGAATATCTGATTAAATGTGGCGATACCCCGATGCCCGATGTCAAGTTCATAGCATTCTCCGTTTTCTATAGCTTCGCCATTCTGTCGCCGCAAAAGTCCGTTGTGCTTGTGGTTTTATTTCTTTTTATTTACAGTGTATGTATGCTAATTTATAATGTACTAAATATAAATGTTGTATATATATATTTCAAAAGTAAACCGTTCCTTTTAATCATATATATATTTAATTTCGCAGTTTAGCAGTTGCTGTCTAAATTGTTGTTTCTGCATGAGCGTTGCTTGTTCTCTGATGTTCAAGAAGTTTTGCTTTGTTTATTTTCATTATAATTATGTATGTATGGTATATATGCGCGTATGTATGTACCTTCGTTAGCACGATTAGCATACCCTTTAAATTATTTCTAACGCCAAAAAACAAAACGCTTTCCTCTGCTTTGGCGGAAACTGAGAAGAGTGCATCGGATAAATTCTTAGCAACACAAAATTCAAAGCGCATCAACGAATACGTAAAAGATAAATACCGAAATAGGGTCAGGACAGGCACAAACGCATAACAAATCGGACACTTAAACAACAAAACTGTACAATCTTTAAAATGGAGCATGAAGATTCTATGAACGGGTTGGGTTGCAAGTGGGTTGATCGGTCGCTGGTCTAATATCTAATGACTGTCTACAGTTCTGTGTTCCTCTTTTAGCACTTTAATGGTAGCTGCTTCTGCGACTCTCGAAATATTTGCTTTTAGTATAGTGTTTAATTAGTTACGCCCTTAACATCCTAATTATGCTTTTCAAAATCACTTTAAACGGGTAACTCTTTCCTTTCGATAATTTAGCTAGGTTTGCTATTAGTTTTGCTCGAAATTAAAAATTTTTAGCTGGACTGCTGGAGAAATGTTCAGATGTTCCGTCTGCAAATTGGCTGCTTGTGTTTAGTTAAATTTAATATCAAAAGGAATGATATATATGAGTAATATATATATAAAAATAAAACAATGCACTTTCTTTGCTGCTGGCCCCGTGCTTTAGCTTTACATTGGCCCATCGATGGCGCTCACTTTAAGGCGGAAATAGTAGGCGGAGCGGGCCAGCATGCACCCTGCGATCACGAACAGCGCCACATAGAGGATGTACATGCCACCGTGATCCTACAAAGAAACAGAGTAAGTGAACACTACTTTAGTGAGGGGAAAAATATTATTTTGATTCTTTGAAATGGGCATATGTTTATTTTCATTCCAAACATGTTGATGAATTCAATTTCTTGTGAAAATACTTACCGAAGCATACGAGAATGTGCCTATGGTTACGCCAATGCCTGCGATGAGGAACACCAGCGCCACAATGGCGAACATCACGCCGCGGCTATTGGCGAAGCGTGAGCCCACTGATGAGACCTTCCTGCAGTGTGGACACCGGGCCAAGGCGTTGTGATACGTGTTGAACTGCAAGAGCAAGCTTTAGATGATTCCTCGAGGGGCTAAATATAACTGGAAGCTCACCAAAAACGTGTCCGAACAATGGCCACAGGTGACGCGGCACATGCCCGGCATGGTGGGCACGGGCGGGGTGACGGGACTTGGGGCCAAGTTGATGATCCTCTTGCAATTGGGCCTTGGACAAGCTATGCGCTGCGAGGAGCTCTTGCAGATTAACAAACAGTTGCATGGGCAGCGAACGTACTTCTTGCCCGGCGGAGCGTTCCTTATGGGCTGTGGATATGCGAAACGTTACTAAGTTCCAGGATATATTAAAGTACAACTCACAGTAGCCTCATTGCAGTGGGTGCACTTGACCACATGCTGCTCCCGCTTCGTGGTGATGTCAATCATGTGCTGACATACCCGACAGGTGACCATGGGCACGCCTCCGGTGTTGGTGCTCTGCTGATACGGCGGCGGTAGCTCATCAGGTCCAATGCACGGCACAGCTGTCGGTCCACCATTGCCTGAAATTGAGTTTTAAAATAAAAATATCAATAGGATAAAGAGGTTAACCCTTGCCCTGCAAAGTCTAGACCTTTGGTGTAAAATAAATACATCTCGCCAGCAGAGTTCTCTCAACAATACTGCTCATCTCGTGGAAATTGCACCGCGGAGAGACTGAGAATTGCATTTTCTGATAGTGTGTGGGTCGGAGAAGCTGCGATAAACCAAATGGGTCAATGTTTTGGCTCTATGAATGCAGCGTTCCTGTCTTGGGATTAAACTAGTGCAGCTAGACCGCAGTTGTGGTACTCGGCTCTCGATCAAAACAAGTTCGAACTTTCTGCAAGAAGAATAAAAACATCAACAAGCCAGGAGGGGAAGACAAAGAAAGGCGTCGTTTGCGTACTCTTTCCGGTAAGGTCATATGGGTTTCTTAGATTATTTAGCAATTATGAATTGGAAATTCAGAAGTAAATGCTAATACATTTGCGGATTTCCCGGAGTCGGATTTTTCATTGAGTAAACTATATTAACTTGACTAATATTAAAGCACTTCTTTGTCTAACTGCTGTTTCAATTATTTGTGAATGTCTTAGCGGTCTGTGTCTATTTACATGTTAATCAAATCAAGTAAACATTAATTTAATCTTTCCTACGACAATTGTAGAAATGAAAATGACGAATGTATTAATGTGTAATAGGAGTTTTATAGTAATTATAATTTTATTCGTTCTTTATTTGGATTTGATGACATATTTCTAAAAGAAAACCCATTTGCTGAGTGACGACTGAGATTTTAATATCAAAGACAGTCTACATTTCCGAAGTTTCCAATTCGACTTCTACACAGAAAAAAATTGTTAAATTTAAAGCAATCACAAACTATTTTCTATATAAATCTAATATGAATTTCAAAATACCGAAAAGAAAATGTCCCATTCGGAAGATTTAAAAGGTAGCAGATCTTTTGTATAAGTCGTAATTTTATTGGAGCATCTGGCGGTCGTAAACCTTGAACCCCTTTTGAAACTAAACTCTTATAGAGTACTGATGATATGGCTTTCCCTGAGTTGAAGATCAGGTTCCTCTGCAAACAATGGAGTCGCTGCTTATTGCAGGCCTGCAGTGCCTTCAATTTTGCCCTGTGCTGCGATAAGGCAACGATGACTCATGGACTTGGCAGCCCCCGCGTTACCGCCACTTTATCACCACCGCCAAATCGATGCTGATTAAACAGCTGTGGGGAACGCTTTTTACACCGATTAAGGCGTCCTAGCATAAACAATAACAAAGGCATTTTAAATATTTGTCAGACACCGGCATAAGCAGAGAAAAAAGTTTGTGTTAAATGGTGTTAAGTTGCACAAATTTTCAAGTAATTAAGCTAGGGCTTAAATGAGATCGCTATCCAATTTTAAATATAATTTAAAATGTTTGAAAATATTGAAATGTTCTTTTCTACAAATCAAAGGGATTCTGTTCGAATTTATGTGTAAAGAAAGATGACGAATAGACTGTGGTGATAAAACCCCATGTTCATATCCGTCCGCTGCATAATACATTTCGTTCAAAAAAGTGACTAGAACTATTAAAAAATTTTATGTTATCATCATAAAATATAAAAAGTATAAAAATATAATTTTGAACTATATTATTTGAAATGATCAAAACAGCTATAATTCACTAGCTTGCCTAGTATATGTATATACTATAATATGTTGAACTTCAAATTTTGATGATTTCAGATAAAATTTTAACCCGATATCAGTAACGTATCAGTTTTTCTTTCTGTGTTTCCCCCATTATGACTCAGTCGGATGGAAGTGTGAAAATGCCAAGTGAGACGTGCAGACAACTTCGAATCACGGCTGCGGATAAGTAGAGCACCAGCACACTTGTTGGGCTTCCAACACCAACCGCCCGGCTAACTGATTGGATGCGGGTTGAATGCCCGGCTTTATGGTCACGATACGCACCGTCCTCGTTGGTGGCCACCGATGAGCTGCTCCCCGGATTGTCGGCTCCTTCGTCCACGGCGTCCACGGAGTTGTAACCATTGCCTTCGTCCTTGTTGATCAGGCTCTGACGCTCTGGATCCGCCATGCTGGATTATCTCCCGATCCGATTCTTCCGATACTATCTGGATAATCTGTGTAGAGCAACTCCCGTTAGTTGCACTTTTTGGCTGCCGCTGGCTGCTTTTGTTGTTGCTGCAACGCGTACTTTTCAACTGCAAAATGAGGAGGAAAATCCAAAATTTAGGCGTTGTGCCACATATTGAAGCACAAGTTCTTTGTTCCCGATTTCTGCAGTCACTTGTTCGTCGCGGTTTTCACTCTCGTTTATTGAAAACACATCCTCCCTTTTTTCCCTTTTCGGCATGCGCCGCAATTAATCAATTCTTGCCCACTGTAAGTGCAACGCCCACGCTGGCTCTTTGTCGGTTCTAAACTTATTACAACTGTCTAAATGTCTCGCATTTCAACCAATTGTTTAACAATTGATGGCCATATTTGTGCTATATTTTACCTTATTTTTGTTGAAAATGCACTGCGGTCGTTGCGATCTGGCCACACCGTATATGACTACCTGGCAACGCTTGTTGAGGTGGTGGTAGCTAAATCGGTAGCCCTCGTAGGGCGTTGCCACTTCAAGGAGTCATTAAAAATTAAGATCATTTTAAATAATTCAAATAAAGTTTAGCTTTTTTTAAACCTTTACACGAAAATGTGAAATGTTTAAAGTTAATACATTATTTTGAGGAGCATTTTTGAAATTGCAAGCCCAAAAGTTTCATTGAACTAGTGCAAGCTCAAAAGTTTCAGTGAACTAGTGTTCATTTGGGAACCAAAACAATTCCGCCGCGATTGATAAAAAAATGTCTAAAAAGGCTTACAAATCGGATGTAAATATCTGTCGGGATTCTGAAAGCCCAGAAAAGTCTTCAAATAGCTGTGTTAACGCATCAAGCAGTGACAGTGATTTAGAAACTAGCAGAAAACACAAACTACGTCGCAAATCTAGCCGAGCTTCTTCATTTCATTATAAAGCGCTGCCCATGCGCCTAGTTGGCGGTAATTCTGACAAAGCAGCAGATATTCCATGCTCCTCTCGGGATATAACTCTCAAATCTGCACATATTATCGAGGACAGTTCCGATTCGGAGTTTCATATGTCGAATGATACCAGCAATGATGAGCCCGCCAACCGATCCATAACTTTTTCAGCACGACCTATAGAAAAACCCGATTTGGTGTTTATAAGAAAACTACGCAAACGCAAGAAACCTAAAAACAAAACTTTGTACAAAGATTGAAATCCATTTTCAAATAGCAACTACTAACTAGGGTTACCAAATCCAAAACGCGCTGCAACTTCCCAACACTGCCAGCAAACTCAGGGTTGGCTAGTGCATTTTTGGAGTAGTGGTCAATTTTTACGAGCATAACTATTTACACTGTTTTTATGTAAATAAAACAAACAAATCGTAGGAAAATTAAGTGCAAAGTGTAAGTAGAGCATGTGGGCTGCCGCGGAGTATGGAATTCCAGATATATAACCTGGAATTACAGGTGTAAATCGGCGATGATTTCATTTTCACGCAGCGCGTTGTTGTATGGGAAACTTCGTCGTATTTCAGCCTGTTGTTGCTGTTGTTGTTGCTCACCATCCTTATGTTGTTGTTGCCGCAGCTGCTGCGTCACAAAAAGTGTTTATTTAATTCGATTTTATTTACATTTTATAGACAAAACCGCCTGCCATTTTAGGGCATCGAAGAATAACAACAACAGCAACGAAAGCAGGGCAAACACCTGTTCCAAATTGATTTTTCACATTTTCCTACATTCCCACAGAACAATTTACCCAAAAAAAAGATCGACTTCAAACAACAACTGTGTTTTGGCATTTTTAATCACAGCAATTAAAAAACATAGCAGCTTAAAAGCACTCAAAAACACACACATATGCAGAAATAGACCAACCGTAGTACCTAGTATTGAGTAGAAATTAGAAGTTAAATTAATTCGAACGAACGAAATTTCAAACCTAGTTTAACCACCGATTAGTACACAAAAAACAGTCAGGAGGAGAAGATAAATCAGTGGAAATATGGAGTCGCCACCTATGTTCAATAGTGTTGAGGATGAGTGCAGATATTGGAAGGAGCGCTCCAAGCAGTACCACAAAGAGTAAGCACAACGAATTACCCATTAAGATTACCATATAACTCCTATATAACCATATTATTTCCAGGTGGACAGATGTGAAACAGGAATACGACGAATTTGTGGAGCAGTCCCGAGAAATGGAAATCGAAATGGACGCCACTCTGGACCAGAAGCAGAGTATAATCAAAGATCTCACAGCCAAGCTCACAATGTTTGAGCGGGAAAACGAGTCCCTCAAGGTAGCCATCTCCATTAACATGAACGGAGTTTTTATCTAATAGCGATGAGACATTCCTCTTCTGGGTTTCAATTAAAAATGCTTTAATGAGTTCATGAATCGGATTCAACTAATACAAATTATAGTAAAACGTGGTAGTCTTTTTTCTCCTAAGAATCTATATTAACATTTCTCCACCTCCTCCTCCTTTAGCTCAAGTTAGACTCGCATGGCATTGAAATGTCAAACATGGAGAAGCAGCTAGAAACAGTGAAGAAGGACCGCGACACCATGAAGGTGTATCTGCGGCAACTGGAGCAGAAGAATGACGATCTGGAGCGAGCCCACCGCATACTAAACGAAAGCATAGAGAACTTCGAAAAGATGCTGGATCAGGCCTACGAAAAGAACGCACTTCTAGAGCTGGAAGTGGATGAGAAGGGTTTGCTGCAAGAGAAGCTACAGCGGCTGATGGATGAGACGAGAGGTGGGTAGTTGAAGACCAGTTGCCCATTCAATACATTATGCTTTTTCAACGATCTATTGCAGATCTCAAGCAGGAGCTGAATGTCAAGTCACGCTTTACCCCAGTGGTCAATGGAACGAGCATTCCCACGGCCAGCGACACCAACACAGTGAACAGCTCCATGAACTCGTCCGCCTCGCTGCCAAATGGTATTGTGGCCAACGGCGATTTGGTGAACCACGACAATACCGTCGCCACAAGAGCCACCAGCATCAGCGTGAACGCCCTCAATGGCAGTTTAGTTAATAAAAACGAATATAACCAGCAGCATTCGCTTAAAAGTAAGATACTCAATTCCCTAAAGAAAACCAGACGCGTCTTAAAACTGTCCAAGTCGAGTCGCCAAACGTTCAAGCCTTGCAATTAGTTTTGTTTTTAATTTGTTTTTACTTGTTTGTGACGGCGTTAGCCGGTTTAAGTTCCTTATTATTTGTAATTTCATTGTAAGTTATTAAAATTAAGAGCACAAATGTGACGAGAGAGTTTGCAACATTTCTTGTAGGCGAATTGTGCGTTTTGTGTGCGTCTGTAGTTAGTAGTTGACCAACTAACCTCTCGACTAACCTGCTGTGTATGTGTGCTTCCTCTTGCAGATCCCGAGAACCAACTCAATGGCAATTCCATGAACCCCAGCTCCCGCACAACGGCGCTCAACATTGTGGCCGACATGTTAAGAAAACTAAACGTAAGTCCCTCCGAAAACTATGAACCCTCGCATGCCAGTGTCCCCCAAAATCCTTACTCCTTATGTTTTGTTTACATTTCCCTTGTACCCACACTCCACCCTCCAGCTTATGTGTTTTTCCGTATGTTTTTAGTGGGACAAGGCCCTGCTATGTCCCGAGTGCGAAAAGTTTCGCTGCGTTTGCGAGCGCCCGGCGACACTGCAGCCGCCGCCATCGGCCAGCGAGTCGAGTCTCTTTCGCCGCGCCTTTGGCGGCAGCAGCAGCTCAGTGGCCACCAGCGCCCAGTCCACGCCCTCCAGCGATTGCAGCTCCTCCGGCGGCCTCAATGCGGGCTCGAATATTTTCAAGCGCTTCGCCGAGCGCATGCGAAACTCGCCGGACGCCAGCTTGCCGCTCTGACAATGCGCTCCGTTCGATAAAGCTAATTTTAGTTGCCCTCCGCTTGCATTTATTAATTGCATTGGTTAATAAATACAAAATTTATTTGTACCTTATTTTGCAGTCTTTGTTTTTGTTTTTAAAACACGTTTTACCCCGATTTAAACGGCACATATCTAAATTTTGAAAGTTAACTCCCGGAATCTCATATATTGAGTAACTCTATCGCTCTAAATCATCACATCAAATGATTAGAATGATGGATAATGGGTTTTTTCATTAATTCGAAATATTAAAAAAAAATTAAACTTAGTGTTACTAAGCCATGAACCATTTTTTTCAAAACATTAAATTGTAAAAGTAAGCTATCTGAAAAAAACGCTTAGAACTTATTTTATATATATACCAAAAAAATGGCCTTATTAATACTAACTAAACTTTACAAAATTCAATATTCAAAATTAGGCAGAAAGTGAAATCTTAAGATTTATTTTTAGCATTAAATATTGAATATTGAATAAGTATCGGTCTTTCTAGCCTATAAAACAAGCATAAAGCTTATTAGAGCTTGTTTAAAGTCTTTTAAATTATAATTTAGTTAATTAGAACCATGTTGATTTTTGATATTTCCGAATTTACCTAAGTCCCTGCCACTTCTGTATATTTGCAGGCGATGGAGACGAAACTGAAGACGTACCGCGAAAATGGCCAGCCCATGCCGCAGCGGCATCGCTCCGCCCAACAGTCCACCCATCCGGCGCTGGCCGGACTGCCTTGCCTCTCGCTGGATGCCGAGTAATGGGGGTCACCGCCTACTCAACCTCATCCTCATCATCCTCAAACTTAACCCCATCCCCAAACACCCATTGCGGGATACTGTTCAGTTGGCTTTACGTTTACGTTACGTTAATGTTACTGTTAGCATTAATTTAGCTTCTGCTGCCTCTTTATTTATTTGACCCAACTTGACTTGTATAAATCATTTGCGATATTATAAATTACACAACAGTTGATGTTGTCGTTTTGGAGCCCAACATATAACATGCCTTAGTACGAATTAAGAGTATATCTAAGCTAAGTCCCACACGGTTCACTTTGACTTCAATTGTTTTGGCATACAATGTGTTTAGCGAGTAAGTTTAAAGATGATCCTCTTCGAAAACAAGCGCAGAAGCTCTGTCCAAGTATTATATTCAAGTGGACAACAAATACTCGTAGCGTTTAGGAAAAAAGACAAGATCTAACCCGAAAACACAACCGATCACCTAGTTATACTGTAACTATCCCAAGAGCTATTTTTCTGTTTATATTTACGTGCGAATATAAATATGTAAAAATGCAATATTGTTAACAGCAAACTGTATAAAGCATAACAAAAAATCCAACGAACAGGCAAAAATATATATATATGAATAAAGAGCAACATCATTAGTTTAATAGAAACTCACACGCACTCTATTGTCAAAGACCGTGTGTGTTATAACTAATTAGTTTTAAATAATATTTGAGTTCATTACACAAGGTGAATGCTGCGTCAATTCCTATGCCAAGGCCAAATTCCCGTTTCAAAAGCTTTTTGCAGGGGAAGTACCCCGTTTTTAGACCAATTTCATTGCGGATTTTTCGGAGCTTTACCCCAGGAAGTTAAAGTGGGAGTGTGGGAGTCGCCAGGTGGTCTCGGCTGGGTGAAGTAAACTGGATCTGAAGCACCGACCTTGCCGTCGGGAAGGTCCGTTGGCGGTAAGCTAATGAAAGTACTCTGGTTTTTATAAGTAAGCACGGGTTAGCGTCCTCGAGTGCTGGTATTTAAGTAAGCCAGCATGGATGGAAAACTTCTCCTCGAATGGAAAATCTCCCACAACAAATGCAACAAAAAAATGAAGAAAAATGAAAATATGACACAAGCTTTTATCATACGCAGAGCACTTACCAGCGACAGGAATAGGGACGGACTTTCTGGTGTTGTTGCTCCTCTTGTTTGCTGCTGAGTGCATTGTTTACTGCAGGGGCGGCGGACGAACGAGGTGGTCCAAGGGGCGTGGCAGCAACCATAAGCGGATTGGGAATGGCACAATGCAGTTGCCGTTTGAAATAAAAGTGAGCAGACACAAAGCCAGACCTGCTTGAGTGCACCGAAAAACAATTTGGATATCTTTTTGGGATTGTAATTCAACTGGTATGTAAAGTATTAATACAAATATTTATAGACTAGTTTTAATACTTTCACAGGAATGAGTAGCTAGTCTTTTACATGGTGAATAACCAGCTTAGATTATATAGATATAGAAGACATGCCAGTTAAATTATTCACTCCTTTTTTATTCAATGGTTATAATTATATTAGAATCTT